AACACCAATAAGTGTTATTATGATATATTATATATTGTTGTCAAAATGTCAATAAACAACAATGTTGCCATCTAAATCAATTTATGGAATTCATGATTATGTATTAACTTGTATACGATAACCAATATCATATAATAAGTATTTAAATACTTACATCTATTTAATTAATTAATTGTTATAATCTAATTAATTGTTAAMGGTTTCATAGCCTTATTGCATGTGGTAAACTGCAAGTTATTTTATATTTAATTAAAGTATCAATAAACATATGAATGTAGAAACAATAATGATAAAACCTATTTGTATACCTTTATTAAAAATATCATCAGATACTAAGAAATCATTAATAAATTAATCTTATATCATAATAATATACTATTTCCACAAACCATAGACATATTAATATGCCTATGACACAAGCGTATAAAATACGCTGTTATCTAAATCTAATAATTTATTTATATAGAAAATAAATATCATAAATATGAGAAGTGTGCAGTAGTGAACCGCATACAGCAAGAATACCGGCAATACACAATATTAATATTAAAARGCAAAAACTGAAAAGTTTCTTATCGTGAGACATCATACAAGATGCTAGGTAAAATAATTGTTAGAGTAGGTAACATGTATGGAAGGTAATGATATGTTTATAAATAAACATAACAAGAATATAATATTATTTAATTGAAATTACATTTTTTCATAATTCAGACATAAGCGTWYTACTAATCTTTATTAGTTGAAGGTGTTACTAGTTGACCAGTGGATACCACATTCTTGAAAAAGGTATATGATGCTTTTGGAATACGAGTTCTTTGAGGATCATTAAAATCTACCTTAACAAGTCCAAAATGAATTCTGAAAAACAATACAATTAAACCAATATAGAAAAATAATGATATACTGTATTATACCATTAGATGTGACTTGTGTACTCTTTTAAAATTTAATCCTTCACATTAATCAMAGGCATAAAGAAAAAACTTTTATTGATCGATACAAAACAACTTACGAATAACCATCCGTCCATTCAAAATTGTCCAAGAGTGACCATACGGTAAATCCTATTACATTGCAGTTATTTTCATGTATTGCTCGTAATGTTGCATTTAAATAGCCCTATTAAATAAAAATAAAAAAAAGTTAGCACTAATTATATACTATCATATACATTTACTAGGTACCTTTATGTAGTTAATTCTATCAAAATCATCCAATTCACCATTGTCTCCATATCCATTTTCTGTAATAATCAAAGGTGGATTGCCATATTCATTTTTTAACCATATCAAAAGTTGTCTTAATCCATCGGGTACTGGCTAAAATATTAAGATTTGAGTAGTAAACACAACACAACATGGATTTATTTATTACTATAAGCCACGGTGCTACAGATGGTTTTAACCATGCTTCATCTACAGAAGTAACATAAGCTGCGTCAGAATTATAATTAGGATCTGGATCACTTCCATTAGTCACCAAACGAGATGAATAATGGTTGAGAGCATAAAAATCAGCAGTACCTAAAATTTATTTTTTCAACTTTAAACTATGTAAMAGGAACATGAAAAATTATGAATAAATATTCTTTTATCTGTTAAACATGCACCTTTAATTAATTTTATTTCATCTTCTGTAAATGTTGGTAATTTTGACCAAGGTATACCTTCTTCTTTACTCTTTGTATCAACCCATTTTCTCATAATAGGAGGATAGTCTCCCTTGTAAACTGGATGACTGAACAATCCTCTCTAAGAACGTGTAACGATACATTGTACTATAATTTAATTTATCTTAGAAATAAAATACATAATTACAAAAGCAAACTATGTTTGTTACCTACCTCAAACTGGTTGGCTCTTTCAGCAGTATTAATATCATCATCTGATTCAGCATTTTTTGGTATAAAAAATACTCCACTAATTGAAATACTTATTTTTCCTATAAAAAATATAAATTCTAAGATTCAAATATTACAAACTCCATCACAATTTTATGAGTACCTTGTTGTGTAGGTTTAAACATATCTTCATACAACCTATATACTTTCCCATGTGCAATAAGTAGTGTATGAGCTGCTAAATAAAACCCAGTGTTGTTTAAATTCAAGGATGGGGCATAGCCTTTAAAKGCGTAACCTTTAGAAACTTCTATTGGTTCATTAATTGTGATCCACCATTTTACCTGTTATAAGTATAAAATGTAAAGATGCCATTTATATTTTTCAAAAATTTATTTAATTTACTCTGTCTCCGTAGTAAGTAA